CAGGGCCAGGCGGCGGGAGCGGGGCTGCCCACCGGTGCGGGGCCATCCCGCAGCCGGGCCGCGCTTGTCGGGGCAGTAAAGGAGTGAGCATGTAAAAGCTTTTATTATAGATTTAATTACATTTTCTTATTTTGTGGTAGTAAAGGTTGCAGTTAACAGGGTTGCTTTGGCGCTTTTTTTTCCCCTCCTCTCTCTCTTTTTTTTTAAAATTTATTGGTTTCCCCTTATTTATTCTTTCCTTCCAGGCCCCTCCATGCCAATGCCTTTAAGTCCTCCCGGTTAATGGAAAGCAATGACACTAATGCTAGATTTTGCAAAGTAAAGCCCCATAACACTAACCATTGTTCAGTGATTTAACTAGCTCAGTGGCAATAGGTCACTAAAATAGCATCCTTCTCCCACAGGCACGACCCTGCTGCCTGCCAGGGTGGGACCTGCAGAGTTGTTGTTTACCATTATGGCTCCAGGAGTACAAGGCAGGAGTTTGGGGTTGTTTTCTTTTCTCCTTTTTTTTTTTTTTTTTTTTTTTTCCTGGGAATATTTGAGAGCAACCAGGCCCTGAGACTTTAAAAACCCTAACTGAAGGATTGCACCCATCCTCAATAGTTTCAAAATAAACTTTTTTTTTAATCATTAGCGTTTCAAACATTTTCATGTTTAAATTTTCAACTGTTTGTCGAAGCCCAGAAAGATTTAAAACACAGCTGTTGCATGATGTGGCTGGGGACACTCCCTCTCTTTAAAAAAAGCCCACAGACTGTCTGTAGTCAGATAGCGGAAATCCAGTGTCTTGGATAATCCTAAACTATTACCATGGGGCTGTTCTCTTGAAGCCACAGCACCTTGGCACCCAGGTGCTCTAGTCCGAACTGTAAAGTTCCCCTGTAGCAGCACGTCTGGGGAAAGCCTTTAGAAAGCCTTGTAAGGAAAACATGGCATCAAGCAGCCACCACATGCAAATAAAGCGCGTTAGGAGCGTCAGATAGATTTTGTAGGGACAAAACCGTATTTTATTACGGAAAATAAACTTTTTGAGCAAACCCACAGTGGTCTTACTTGAGAAAAATTATCATTTAATATGCACGAGGCAGTTACGCGCACAGAAACTTTTAAATGCAAATAGGCAACGAGCCAAATTCCTATAGGGGCTAGGAGGGAAATGATCAAAAAATGAACATGAAATAAGACTTCCTGTAAGAAGGTCCATAATTCAACATTATTGGACTCCACTGTCAGGGAAATTGTTGAAGGATAGTAAACTGATACTGGAGTCTCAGTCATTTTTGTTACAGTCTTAAATGTTTGCAACCGTGGCATTTTAAATGGCCCTTCTAGTATATCATATATATATATATATGTATGTATATAATAAAGCAACATTTCTATTTATGTTGCAATAGGTATTTTTTTTTCAATGCATGCAGTTCCAGAGTTTCTCTAAACAAAATGCGGATAGACAGCAGTTATTTTTAAAATGGAAAAATGACTTAAAATGCAATATTCTTTACAAAGAAACAATCATACACTGGAACGCAGTATCTAGCATATCTGACGGTCAATGGGTTGTTTAGTGTATCAACCAGTTATGAGTAGACTAACTTTCCCAAATACTTGAAATAAATTTGCTAGAGCTTGGAGCCAATACAAAAATAATGCTTTTGGGGGAAAAAAATTACCGAGCGGTACTATTTTACTTGAGGACTTTCGAACCATGCATAACCCACAGTGGTCTTACTTGAGAAAAATTATCATTTAATATGCACGAGGCAGTTACGCGCACAGAAACTTTTAAATGCAAATAGGCAACGAGCCAAATTCCTATAGGGGCTAGGAGGGAAATGATCAAAAAATGAACATGAAATAAGACTTCCTGTAAGAAGGTCCATAATTCAACATTATTGGACTCCACTGTCAGGGAAATTGTTGAAGGATAGTAAACTGATACTGGAGTCTCAGTCATTTTTGTTACAGTCTTAAATGTTTGCAACCGTGGCATTTTAAATGGCCCTTCTAGTATATCATATATATATATATATGTATGTATATAATAAAGCAACATTTCTATTTATGTTGCAATAGGTATTTTTTTTTCAATGCATGCAGTTCCAGAGTTTCTCTAAACAAAATGCGGATAGACAGCAGTTATTTTTAAAATGGAAAAATGACTTAAAATGCAATATTCTTTACAAAGAAACAATCATACACTGGAACGCAGTATCTAGCATATCTGACGGTCAATGGGTTGTTTAGTGTATCAACCAGTTATGAGTAGACTAACTTTCCCAAATACTTGAAATAAATTTGCTAGAGCTTGGAGCCAATACAAAAATAATGCTTTTGGGGGAAAAAAATTACCGAGCGGTACTATTTTACTTGAGGACTTTCGAACCATGCATGAATTGAAGTGGAGCAAGCAAGCTAAGAATGTTGCTGCATTTGGTGTATGTACTCCCATATTGGAGGAACAGGCATCAAAATAATAGATGTGCTGCAGCGGGTGTAAGGTAGAATTTGTTTCTGTTTCATAAAAGAGTTACGGCAAAGTAGGACTCCGAGG